CGACGCCTCGGATTCGACGTATCGAGCGGTCGAACTGGCAGCTTCCAAAAGTCACGCTGAAATTTCCTATTTCATCCCCAACTTGGTTCCCGCTATAAAATCCCGCCTCCCTCAAACCTAGAAGGGGTATGCTGTGTTTTGGAGACAAGAAAGAAGAGAATTGAGAGCTAAAAGTTGTCTTGGGAAGAAAGAAGAAAGCTAGGGAGATTGGGAAAATCACTTGGTTTGTTCTTGTACTCTCTTTGGTTATTTGTAAACTCTTTATTATTGTTATGAATTCTATATTAGCCATGTGTGGCTAATTTTTCATAGAGATTCTTGGATAAAAAATGTTTATGAACCTATGTGCCTAGTTCTCAGATTTCTATAATATTTATATTTGAGTTTTATATTTGTGTTGCAATTGTGATTTCATATTGTTGATGCTTGTAATTAGTGGCCATGATTACTTATTTCATAGCTATCTTTATGTCATAACGGGAGTTATGCATAATTTAGGCCACACACAATTGCACTTAACTGTTACATCTTGGGAGATGGCATATTGGTTAAGGAAGTTAATTCTTAATTATTGCACATCGAGAAATGGTAGTAGATAAGATAAAAGTTTATTATGAATGCTTGTTCTTTCATTGTTGGGTATTTATATCACGTGAGTGAATATTCATTTAAGTTAGAGATTATGGGAGTAACCCTTTCCCTTGTTGCATTCTCACACTTGTTTAAACCAGATCTAATATTGCACTTAAGTTTGACACTTGGTGATTAAACACTTGAATCCCAGGAATTGAATCTCATTCTCTCTCTATTGTTTTCACAAACCAGCTACTTTGCTTTTAATTTAGTTTTAATCATCCATCCATGCCTTTCGTTAGGATTAGCTTTACAATAATAAATTAGTAGCTAGTGCTTGATACGCCCACTTCCATGTAGATCGATAACTCGTTACTCCGAATAATTATTTGTTTGAAAAATATACTACAATCAACACACATATTCATTTTTAATATACTTTATTTTCATTTGTTTCACTTTTTGTATATTACATGTTAATTTTTTGACTCCACGGTATAATTCGCTTCCAAGACTGCACATATCATTAAAATATCTTAGCCGTCAAAACATCTAGTTACTGTAGCTATCCACTTACTAACCATTTCAAATAACCGTATTAGATAATACTTAATCATTTTCTTTTTTAAGGATTTTTTATATCATTTGTGTCACGCATGATATGAGAAGTGCAAGCTAAGTGCTGTTAAAGTGGTCTCTTAACCAACTTTTGACGCAAGTAAATGCATCATCAATGCGTTAATTACTTTTAAAGAGAATTTGTGTCCAAACACTTCTCCTTAGCTTTCTTCTATTCTATTCAAATTGAAACCAAACGGATCCATAACTGTTTTTATGAAATTGGCAAAATTTGATCGAGCTTCTTCCGTTGAGAATGCAATGTATCGGTGAGCCACGATTCCACGAAGATGTTATAATCTAAAAATAGAAAGGAAATTAAAATCAGTAAAGATGAGCCACGATTCCACGAAGATGTTATAATCTAAAAATAGAAAGGAAATTAAAATCAGTAAAGATAGCCATAAAGCACGGAGAGAAGAAAAAATGATGAAATGTTGGCTATAAATAGGAAGAAAAAGATCGAGAATAGGAGAATGGTGAAATACTAGCTATAAATAGGAAGAAAAGGATAAGAAGAAAGATAATAAATCAAAATGAATATGCATGCATTATATTATGAGATTGAGAGAAACTAAACGCATATATGTTTGATCCCCCAAAATTATATTGATAAAAAATTAATTAAATTGAATTTTGTAAGTATGAACGGTGTAACACCAATTGAATGCAAAAATTACAGTTTTTTACTTCAATTCACTTCCAATTTAAATTAAAGTTAGGGCAACTAAAAGTAGCATATGTACAAAATTCAATAGCCCCGATGATGATTTGCTAGGTGATCTCCACTGAAGTAGCGATGACGGCGTCTGATGTAACAACTGCAGCAGAAATTACGTCGGTCAAGGGACCATCATCTGTGCCGTTGGGGAAAAAAATGGGTATTCCATGCTCAATTAATTAGGTCCTAATTATTAGGAGATATAAATGATTTTTAAAAAAATGATGAAGTTTAGAATTAATTGTAGATTTTTTTTAATTTAATTCTTTAACTATGTCAAAAGTAAATATTGGACACTCTAAAAATTAAAGCCCCTATGCTGTTGGGCATCTTGAACGGTTCAAAATCGGGCCCTAGGTAAATCCAATTTGCACCAAAATACATTAAACGATAAACTGAAAGTTCTTATTAATTTCAGAGTACTCGGATTTATTGGAAACATATAAAATAATGAAGCATGCTAACAAATATGTATATATCGCATATGATTTGTATAGTTCATATATTGAACTTCCTTATTCTATTCTGGCGAAGGCAATAGTGTCTTTTCCATTATGAGCTTTCCGGTAGAAATGCTTGGCGTAGTCGGAGTAGAGAACTGGCTTGTATACCGCCTTCTCCCCGCTCGCCAGCACTTCCGGGAGCGGCGCCACGATATCATTAGGCCTCGGGTTCACAAAAACTGGCACTGAGATCCTGTCATTGTTCTCATTGGCCATAACGCGATGCTCGATGCTCTTGTATCGACCATTGCTCATGATCTGGAGAGCGTCGCCGATGTTGATCACCAGAGCGCCCTTCACCGGCGGCACGTGCGACCAGGCCTCGTGCTCCAGTTTGCGCACGTACAGGCCTCCGATGTCGTCCTGGAGGAGGAGTGTGAGGGTGGAGATGTCGGAGTGACGGCCCACGCCGACGGTGAGATCGGGGTTGGGGCACTTTGGGTAGTAGTTGATGTTGATCCTACGTGAACCCATTAGAAGTGATTCTTTGGAATCGTCAATTTCGTTCACGTTTAGTCCTTGCATCAATGCCTCCAATAGCTTCCTACTCACCATTTCACAGCTTTTCAGGTACTCCAGTGCATCATCTCTGCAGGGACAAATTAAAGAAGATGAGAATACAATCATTATGTTATTTTCATTCTTGCATGGAAAAAGGAATAATATATAAATAGTGCTAGGTACCTGCAAGAAGGAGGCCAATATTTCGCAGCTTCCTGGTCAGAAACATAGAACATACTGAGGTGATCTTTCCACTCCAAAGCCTTCTCTATTTGTGGAAGAAAGCTTGTGCTATACCTCACATGGCTAGTCGGAGAGTTCTCCTTGGAATACTTCTTCTTCTCCTCCGCGGGCTCCCTAAAGAACCGGTATGTAGCCGCCTTAGCCTTCTCCAGCATCTCAAGGGGAATCCCATGGTTCACAATCTGGAAGAAACCCCTCTTCTCGGCGGCGTCGCAAATGAGCTTAGCCACCTTTGGGTCCTCCCAGTTTGAGACGTCAATGACCGGAATGGAGTCGTCGGTAACGACATCCATGCTGGAGAGCCTCTCCTCCGGCGGGTGAACGTATTGGTTGGGGAGGGTTTGGAGGCCAAGCTCCGAAAGGCCCTTCACTCCGTGGCCTTGTTTCACCACAAAGTCATTGATGTCAGAGAGAACAGTAGAGAGTTCTGTTGCTGAAGGCATATTCTATTGGTTTATGTTTGATATGATGAAATGTGGTAAATAGATGAGAAAGAAAGATTGATTGAGATAGAGTAGTATGTGCTAAGATGGAGATGAGTGAATTCCTTCATCCCTTCTACCCCTTTTTATAGTGGTTTGGGGTTAGGGGTTGGTGGCTTATTTCAATTATTTAATATTATCTTTTTTGAGTATATATATAAGATGAGAGTAATTCATTTGGTAAATACGATGAACGAAGACTATTATATAATTCTATATATCATTGATGAATTGAAGGCAGGCAGGCAGCTAAAGATTACTTTTAGAGCTTCAAAAAAGGAGGGATGTGCAATATTGACCAACCACAGCTCGCCCGGGATCATATTGAAAGTCAGACAACCTCTATTTGCCTTACCTTGGCCTGTTAAAAAAAATGAATTTATCATATTGCAATGGAAAATAATAATAATAATAATAATAATAATAATAATAATAATAATAACAACAACAACAACAACAACAACAACAACAACAACAACAACAACAACAATAATAATAATAATAATAATAATAATAATAAGTCTCAATCAAAGTTATATCCCTCATTTATGTCCATGTTTTTACTACTAATCATTTTGTACATTATGCTTTTAGTGTTGTACTATATAATTTTTTGGACAAAAATATCCCTACCATTATAACTTCCGTTATCTTTTCCATTATTTTTATCATGCGCATGCATCCACCATATATTTTCTTATATTCTTTAATGATAATAATATTTGTAGATATTATATATATATATATATATATATATATATAATTATTATAATAAATAAATTTGATTTCATATATATTTTAATTAGTAGAGATTTATTAGTTATTTTTTAAAAATATATATGTGAGCATATATCCATTAATGTGTATCCAACTATCAGCTTAGGCTTTTAGTTGAGATGGAGCACATGCTTCAATTTGATATCAGAGCCAGACCAAAGGTCATGGGTTTGAATCTCAACGTCACTCGTAAGCGACTACGGTTTACCGGTCCACGTGTTGGTTGGAATCCACCGTACACGTGAGGGGGCGTGTGAGCATATATCCATTAATGTGTATCCAACTATCAGCTTAGGCTTTTAGTTGAGATGGAGCACGGTTAGCCTATCTTATTATTATTATTATTTCTATATTGTATAGTTTGTATTCTAGTGGTGATAGATTAGTTGACTTAGCCTTTTCTATTAGTTAGGATTAGTTAGAGTTTCTTTCATCGATATACTCTGTAATCCTATCTTCTGTTGCAATCTATCTGAGGTGATTTCTCTAATCGGGTATCAGACAGGTTATCCGATCCTCTCCAACCTCCACCACCAATTTTCCCTCCCTCACCCTGTCCGACGATCGATCTCCGACTCCATAATGTCGGCATCATCCGAACGTACCATATCCGCCGCCGGAACCCAGTCGCCAGCCTCCGGCAACAACCTCTCCGGCGCCCACCATTACATCACCATGAAGTTGACGATGAAGAACTTTCTGTTCTGGAGGATGCAACTCCTCTCCTTCCTTCGCGGCCAGGATCTCCTAGGTTTCGTGGACGGCACTCATCCATGCCCACCGGCGACTGTCCCCGCCGCCTCCTCCACCGGCGACTCGACCACGACGTCTGCCGAGCCCACTCCGGTGCCAAACCCGGAGTATCATGCGTGGATTAGGCAGGATCAGACGATCGTGTCGCTGTTGGTATCCTCCATGGCGGACGATGTCCTTCACCTTGCACTTGGCCGAGAGACGTCTGCCGAGATTTGGACCTCCGTCACCGGCGCTCTTGGATCATCCAGTCAAGCACGGTGCCTGACGCTGCTCAACCAGTTTCAGATGTTGCGCCAGGGCAACTTGTCGACGGCGAACTACCTGGGCAGAGCCGGAGTCCTCGTTGAGTCCCTGATCCAAGCTGGCCGGCTGCTCACCTTGATGGAACAGAATCTATACGTTATCCGGGGCCTCCGTCCGGACTAAAATCGCTGGCCACGTCGCTGACCGCCACCGGCGCACCGGTCACCCTCACTCACCTTTCTGACTTCTTGCAGGCACACGAATTCATCCTGGTGGATGACTATCCCTCGGTTGATGTTGGAGCTGGGCACACAGCCTTGTACGCAGGAGCAGGCCGTGGCTCGCATGGAGGTGGCCGGCAGCATCAATCCACGCAACAGCCGCGTGGTGGCCGGCAAGGTCGCGGCGGCCAGAACCGAGGAGGCCGTGGCGGTAGGGGTGCGCCGAGATGTCAGATCTGCCGTTCCCACGGGCATTCGGCAGTGTACTGTTATAAAAGATACACAACGCAGCCACCGCAACCCCAGGCGCACGTTGCGATGTCCGGCGAGGCACCGGCATCTCCGGTCGTCGTCCCGGCGGATGGGTGGTATCCGGACACCGGCGCCACCGCTCACGCCACACCGGACGCAAACATGCTCAGGCAATCGGATGAATATGGCGGATCAGATGTCTTAAGAGTGGGTAATGGGGCAGGTTTGTCTATTTCGCGAATTGGTCGTGCAACTATACCATCAGTGTCAAAATCTCTATATCTAAATAATATCCTCTATGTCCCAAATCTTTCTGTTCCGTTGCTTTCTGTACATAAATTTACAGTTGACAACAATGTTTTTTTTGAATTTCATGATAACTGTTTTATTGTGAAGGACTCCACAACCAAAGCAGTACTTCTTAAGGGGCCAACGTCAGGCGGGTTGTACAAACTCCCGGTGTCAAAGCCAAATTTTGCGTTCATCAGTTCCCGGGCCACTCCCACTATATGGCATCGCCGGTTAGGACACCCGCACAAGCAAGTTCTAAATAAAATACTCCAAACCTGTCCCGTCACGAGCAATAACGTAGCACTAGTTGAGTCGTGCGCATCGTGTCACTTGGGAAAATCGTCCAGATTCAAATTAGATAGTGTTCCAAATTCCACTATGAATGTATTAGACTTAATTTTTACAGATATTTGGGGTCCTTCTCCTGTAATATCTAATAGTGGTTTTCTTTATTTTTGCCTATTTGTAGACGATTACTCAAGATTCTGCTGGTTTTATCCATTACGGGTAAAATCAGACATATATAAAGTTTTTGAGTCGTTCCGTGTCTTGGTAGAGCGCCAGTTTGCGCGTTCAATCAAATCTATACAATCTGATCTAGGGGGTGAGTACCGAAAATTGCACACCATATTCCAAACCTTAGGGATAAACCACCGTCAGTCCTGCGCCTATACACATGAACAAAACGGGCGAGTAGAGTGGCACAATCGGCATATTGTCGAAACAGGCTTAGCTCTACTTGCTGAAGGCAAAGTACCCCTCCAATATTGGGAATATGCCTTTGAAACGGCAAATACCTTAATCAATTACTTACCATCATCGGTCATAAATAATGAGAGTCCATACACTCGTCTATTTAAAACTGCACCCCCATACACGTTCCTTCGTGTCTTCGGGTATCGGTGCTACCCATATCTAAGGCCTTATAACCGGCACAAGATTGAGTATCGCTCCGCACCTTGTGTCTTCTTAGGTTATCCACCGTCCTTTAGGGGGTATAGGTGCACTGATCTAATTAGCGGAAAGACTTATATCTGTCGTCATGTCCGCTTTGACGAGTCTGTTTTCCCCTTTGCTACAGATTATTCTCAACAAGTGGCTGCTACACCGACTCTTCCGTGGGCATCAGCATCGGTCGTGTCACATGGTCCAATTTCGGACACGACATCGCCCCCGGCTCCACGTGACTCACCTGCACACCTTCAGGCCCTGAACCGGTTCCATTAGCCCGTGAGTCTCCACGATTGGCTATAACACATACTGCTCCGGCAAAAGCACGGAAGTCTCGCAAACAACCCCAGCCCCGTGATCATGTTATGCGTCTTCGCAACATGACAAAGGGCACAGACGAGCCGTTTCATGCTTTGACTGCAGTTGCAGACCCGACTTGCTACTAACAAGCAGTGGGTCACGCACATTGGCGTGAGGCTATGGACCAGGAGTTTAATGCCTTACTACATAACAACACCTGGCGGTTGGTCCCACCTCAGCCTCACATGAACATCATTGGCTGCAAGTGGGTTTTTCGCACGAAGCGCACCGCTGATGGTTCAGTTGAGCGGTACAAAGCCCGGCTTGTGGCGAAAGGGTTCAATCAGGTAGCAGGAGAAGATTTCTTTGACACATTCAGCCCGGTAGTCAAACCGACCACAGTTCGGATGCTCTTTTCTCTCGCGGTATCCAACAAGTGGACTCTACGTCAGTTAGATGTCCACAATGCCTTCCTTAATGGTCATCTGGCAGAAACTGTGTACATGAAGCAACCTCCAGGGTATGAGGACCCTACGACACCCGGGCACGTGTGTCATCTACAGAGGTCCCTATATGGCTTGAAACAGGCCCCACGAGCCTGGTTTAAGCGTCTTCATGATTTTCTGTTGACTGCAGGTTTTAAATCATCCAAAACCGACGTATCCTTGTTTTACTACTCGGCTGGAGAGTCCCAAGTGTTTTTGTTGGTATACGTCGACGATATTATAATGATGGGCAACGACGCCAACCTAGTAACTTCACTGTTACATCGACTGTCCACTACGTTCAAAATTCGGGATCTAGGATCTCCTGGTTTCTTCTTGGGTATAGAGACAGTGGTGTCAGGTCAAGGCTTCATTCTTTCCCAGCGGCGTTATATGTCGGATCTCCTGGGCCGTTCAGGGATGTTGGACTACAAGCCCCTCACTATACCAGCTGCTGTCACCAAGCCAGCTACACCGACTGAAGAACTATTTAACAACCCGACTCAGTATCGTCGGATAGTTGGCGCCTTACAGTACTTAACCATCACTCGTCCTGACTTGGCTTACGCAGTCAACCGACTGTGCCAGTTCATGCACACACCGACTGTTGATCATTGGGCGCTTGTGAAGCGTGTCTTACGGTACATCAAGGGGACCCTTGACTACGGGCTCCACCTCACACCTTCCGCATCGACCAGCATACATGCCTTTTCGGACTCAGACTGGGCGGGTTGCCCAGTAGACAGGAAAAGTACGAGTGGGTTCGCGGTATATCTCAGCTCTAATCTTATCTCTTGGCTATCCAAGAAACAGCGCACTGTGGCACGCTCCTCTACTGAAGCTGAATACAAAGCGTTAGCTGACGTCTCTGCCGAAGTGACCTGGGTTGTGTCTTTACTACGAGAGTTGGGTATGCATTCTGGTCAGCCTTCCACGTTGTGGTGCGACAATCTTGGCGCCACTTATCTGTGTGCTAATCCGGTGTTTCATGCTCGCACCAAGCATGTAGAAATCGACTATCATTTCGTCCGTGACAAGGTGGCCTCCAGGGACTTCGTCGTCAACTACGTGTCTACTACGGACCAGCTTGCAGACATCTTCACCAAACCACTCCCAGCACCGAGGTTTGCTGCTTTACGAGACAAGCTCAATGTTGTCTCCTTACAACCTTGTGTTTGAGGGGGTGTGTTAGCCTATCTTATTATTATTATTATTATTATTATTATTATTATTATTATTATTATTATTATTATTATTATTATTACTATTATTATTATTATTATTATTATTATTATTATTATTATTATTATTTCTATATTGTATAGTTTGTATTCTAGTGGTGATAGATTAGTTGACTTAGCCTTTTCTATTAGTTAGGATTAGTTAGAGTTTCTTTCATCGATATACTCTGTAATCTTATCTTCTGTTGCAATCTATCTGAGGTGATTTCTCTAATCATATAAATATTGGGTATATATGTTTTTGCGCATCGCGCATAAAAAAATTAGTAATAATAATAATAATAATAATAATAATAATAATAATAATAATAATAATAATAATAATAAACCAATGGAGGACATAAATTAACTTCTTTAAAAAATAGGTATAAACTCGCAACAAAATTAACTAACTAAAAGACCTTTCTTTCTATTTTCAAAAAAAAAAAAAAAAAAAGACCTTTCTTTCTTTGACAAAATAGAAAATTGATATTTCGCCATACTTTTGTTTTATGAGAAAATATATATATATATATATATATATATATATATATATATATATATTCAAAGTTCTTTCCACCTGTTTGAAACTTTCCAATTTAAATTCTACAAAAGAAACTATGCATCTTCACTTTAATATGCATATATGTCAAAATAATTTGATAATTTGAGTTGAGTCTTGCAACAAGTGAAATTATTGTACGTGTGGGGTTTGGGAGAAAATTGGAAAAGAGGAGCTGGGAGAAGTTGGTAAAGGTAAAGTTTTTATTAGATGGAGACTTTTTGATACGTACATGTAGTTTTTTTTTTTGAAATATGGCGTACCAGTATATTAATTCAAAAATTGAATGATAGAGTCAGGAGGGATTAAATCCCAGTACATAGAATGATCCTGATCATGGGCTAATCTAGCAAGAGTATGCGCATGTAAATTTAGAGTTCTTGGAATAAAACTAAGCGAACAAAAAACGAAACTATTAATAGCTATCCTGCACTGCTCAATCACAATTCCAACATAAGATAAGTTCGGTGTAGTTACTGCATGAACCGCATTCCTGAAGACAAGACAATCTGTAAGAATATCGACCTCGTTCTCGTTTCGGTCTTTAAGCCAGGACAAGGCTTCCTTGCATGCTAGTGCTTCTGCCATAAGAGGAGTTAAACACCCCGGGAGTTTTCCGTTTGCCGCTGCTTTGAACAAACCATTCGGATCGAGTAAGACCGCCCCATAGGTTGCATCTCCCGTCCCCGGATCGTATCCGGCGTCGACGTAGCACGTCGTCCGCCCGGCTGCCACTGTCTGCACCTCGCCGGCCGGTGCCGCTTCTGGACGAGAATGAAGTGCCGTGTAGCTCGCCTCCCCCGCAGCTGCACGGCGCCACACCACCTCCGGCCTCCGTACCGCATGTTGCCAGACCGCCTCGTTTCTGGCCATCCATAAAAAATAGAGGACCCCCACAACG